GCAGTCCATAAAATTGCACATGGTATAATTTTTTTTGAGTGTAGGAAGAGAATATTTATGAAGATCTGAGATTGCTAAATAATTAGAAATTTTATAACTTAAAATAAATGTTACTGGCCGGTGCCACGGCTCACTAGGCTAATCCTCTGCTTGTGGCGCCGGCACCCCGGTTTCTAGTCCCTGTTGGGGCGCCGGATTTTGTCCCGGTTGTCCCTCTTCCAGTCCAGCTCTCTGCTGTGGCCCAGGAGTGCAGTGGAGGATGGCCCAAGTGCTTGGGCCCTGCACCTGCGTGGGAGACCAGGAGGAAACACCTGGCTCCTGGCTTCGGATCGGCGGGGTGCTCCGGCCGCAGTGCGCCGGCTGCAGCGGCCATTGGGGGGTGAACCAACGGAAAAGAAAGACCTTTCTCTCTCTCTCTGTCTCTCTCTCTCTCCCTGTCCACTCTGCCTGTCAAATAAAATAAAATACAATAAATGTTACTACTCAAACTGTAATCCAAACTGAAGAAAACAGGAACAAAAATTCAGAAATCAATGTTATTAACATGATGTTCTGCTGTCACTAGTGAATTAATTGATAATATAAAAATAATAAAATAGAGAAAGTGTCATTTGTAGTTTTTTTTTTTTTTTTTAATTTATTTGACAAGGTAGAGTTGTAGACAGTGAGAGAGAGAGAAACAGAGAAAGGTCTTCCTTCCGTTGGTTCACTCTCCAAATGGCCACTACGGTCGGCACTGCGTTGATCTGAAGCCAGGAGCCAGGTGCTTCTTCCTGTTCTCCCATGTGGGTGCAGGGCTCAAGCACTTGGGCCATCCTCCACTACCTTCCTGGGCCACAGCAGAGAGCTGGACTGGAAGGGGAGCAACCGGGACTAGAACCCGGTGCCCATATGGGATGCCGGCGCCGCAGGTGGAGGACTAACCCAGTGAGCCACGGCACTGGCCCCTGTAGTTTTTTAACTTTTCAGATTTTTCCCATGTTTTCTCTAAAGATTGATTATTAAGTGAGTACCTTACACATTCATGGTACTTGATACTTTACTGAGTGCTTCTTCCTGTGTTTTCAGTATGTTGGATGAATTGCAGGTCAGCATGTGCCTAGTTGGGTGGATTTATGGATTTAAGTTAAGCAGATCTCACAAAACAGATTTGTGGCATAAAAAGATTCCTGCAAAGAAATTGTAGATTGAGGACAGTACTAAGAATGTAGGCAAAAGTGAATCACACACATGTAGAACATCAGAGATGATGATTTCCTGTGGGCAGTGAAGTCAACATCAATGGCAATCTAAGAAGATGTCTGAGAGATTGAAGTTATAAAGAAGATAATTTGATATATGGAACTACATCTATTTTTAACAAAAATTTTTTTTGGCCTTGAAATCCTGGCTTATGATAGTAGAAAACCATCATAATTAGCAGACCATATGGAACAGGAAGACAAACTTGTACCAGTTTTTCACTGATACTTTAAAGTCATGTGATACATGATTCAATACCCAGAAAATTTCACTGAAATTCATGATAGATACGTAAAATCCTCTTTTGAATTTTCTTAGTGGAAGACCAAATGTAATGTATCAATAGTAATCTTAGGGGCACTCTGCAAAGTAATGAAATAAAACATAGGAAATAGCATGACAACAGCTTATATGGATTCTTTTTTGAACAAATACTTTCAGAAGATATATAGAGATCATTGCAGATCATGAGCTAAAATAAATTACTCAATATGGGAGGTTGATATATACTGGAATTTAAAGCACAGATGTTTCTAATCGAAGCCCAGATGATCTTAATAGCTAGGTTGTTTCAATAATGAAATACATGAAGAGCTAATTTTTTGTGCCATTGAATATATCATGGAAGAGAAATGCCTTAAAATAAGTGAATTTCAGAGTATAAAACAGTGCACGTGAGGGAATTTCTAATGGTGATGTTTTAACTTGATAGGATTTTAAAGTATATACATACATGAATTTGTTGGAAATGGCAGACTTAAGATTTGTACATTTCATTGTGTGTAAAATTTACCTCAAAAGGAAAAAAGAAAACCATGCAAATAAAACACAATTTAATGATGTGCATGGTGTTTTGTTAGGGGAAAGTATACTGATATCTTTGACTTAACCTTGACATATATGAAAAAAAACCCTTGAGATGAATCAATGAATTGATTATTATAATATAGGGTAGTAGTAGTATATACTCTAGTATAATAGCTATAGGAAAAATGTCAATTGCTGAATCTCTGTGGTAGGTATGTGGATATTCCCCATATAATTCTTTTTTTTTTTAAGATTTATTTATTTTACTTGAAAGTCACAGTAACAGAGAGAGAGAAGGAGAGAGAGAATGAGAGAGAGAATGAGAGAGAGAGAGGTCTTCCATCTGCTGGTTCACCCCTCAATTGGCTGCAATGGCCAGAGCTGAGCCGATCTAGAGCCAGGAGCTTCTTCCGGGTCTCTTATGTGGGTGCAGGGGCCCAAAGACCTGGGCCATCTTCTACTGATTTCCCAGGCCATAGCAGAGAGCTGTATCGGAAGTGGAGTAGCTGGGTCTCAAACTGGAGTCCATATGGGATGCCAGCTCCACAGGCAGCAGCTTTACCCATTACGCCACAGTGCCAGCCCCCATATAATTCTTAGATATTTTCTGTTGCAGCATTCCTAGGAAATCTGTTGCAACACAGAAGTTTATATCACATGTTCAAAGAGTATTTCAGGATGATATTGCCATTATTTTATTTATTTTAATTAAAAAAAATTTTTTTTTTGACAGAGTGGACAGTGAGAGAGAGAGACAGAGAGAAAGGTCTTTCTTTTCCATTGGTTCACCCCACAATGGCCGCTGCAGCCGGCACGCTGCGGCCGGAGCACCCTGCCGATCCAAAGCCAGGAGCCAGGTGCTTCTCCTGGTCTCCCATGCGGGTGCAGGGCCCAAGGTGGGCCATCCTCCACTGCACTCCCGGGCCATAGCAGAGAGCTGGTCTGCAAGAGGGGCAACCAGGACAGAATCCGGTGCCCCGATCAGGACTAGAACCCGTTGTGCCGGTGCCGCAAGGCGGAGGATTAGCCTATTGAGCCACAGCGCTGGCCTATTGCCATTATTTTATGAAAACCTGATTATTAAAGTATAGAAGCTCGATGGTATTCTGCAATGACAAGAGGAGTAACCATGAAAATCATTTGAATCACAAGAGCTTCCCTCATAATATTGTAAAAGATTATTAAACTTAAAGACAAATGAAGCATTTGTTTTTTATGAAAAGAAAAATATGCCAAACATTTTTTTAATGAAAAGACAAAATGAGTCAAATTTGCTGACCCTTTTTGTATATATAGTATATTAAAAACCAATCAACCAGGGAAAGCTATTTGGCCTAGTAGTTAAGATACCCTCAGCCCAAATTAGAATACCTGGATTTGAGTCCCAGGTTTGGTCCGAATTCAAGCTTCTTGATATTGTGAACTCTGAGAGGCAGCAGATGATGGCTCAAAGTGTTTGAGATTTGGATTGAACTTCTTGCTTTGGGCTTTGGCTGGCCCTCTACTTGCCATTATAGGCATTTGGAGAGCAAACCAGTGGATGGAAACTCTATTTCTTTACTAAAATAAATTAAAAAAAGATTATTTTTTAAAGATTTATTTATGTATTTGAAAATTAGAGTTACACAGAGAGAGAAGGAGAGGCAGAGAGAGAGAGAGGTCTTCCTTCCTCTGGTTTACTCCCCAATTGGCCGCAACAGCCGGAGCTGCACCAATCCGAAGCCAGGAGCCAGGAGCTTCTTCCACATGGGTGCAGGGGCTCAAGGACTTGGGCCATCTTCTACTGCTTTCCCAGGCCATAGCAGAGAGATGGATCGGAAGTGGAGCAGCCAGACATGAAGTGACACTTATATGAGATGCTGGAGCGGCAGGCAGAGGCTTAGCCTACTACGCTATAGCGCCAGCTCCGGTAGCAGTAAATTTTAATACTCTCTCTCTTAGTGGAGTAACCAGGACTATGAACCAGCACTCTGATGGAATGTGGGTGTTGAATGGGAGAGCTTAACTGGCTGTGCCACAATGCCTGCCCCTCTAACAGGTTTTTTTTTTTTTTTTTTTTTTTTTTTTTTTTAAGATTTATTTAATTATTTGAAAGACAGAGTGATGGAGGAGGGGTTGGAGAGAGAACTTTTATCTGCTGGTTCACTCCCCAGGTGAATGTCTGGGGCTGGTCCAGGTCAAAGCCAGCAGCCTGGAACTCCATCTGCGTCTCCCATGTGGGTGGCAGAGAGGCCCAAGCACCTGGGCCATCTTCTGCTGCTTTCTCAGGAGCATTAGCAGGAATCTGATTAGAAGTGGAGCAGTTGAAACTCAAATTGACACTCTAATCTGGGATGCCAGCATTGCAAGCATTGGCTTAGCCTGCTGTGCTACCATACTGATCCCTTTTAGTGCTCTATGGTATTGCATGGTGACTATAATTAATAATAGTGTATTGCATTTTAAAAATTATTAAAAGAATAGATTTTAAGCATTCTATCAGAATAATCTGTGATACTTTCTTTGAACCTATAGTGTGTCCACGTCTTAGCTCATACTTCTTTTTAATCTCCACCTCAGATTTTCTTCTCATTTTCTTCACTCTTCTTTCTATTGTGAAACATTGCTTATTAGTATGATATTTACAATGTCATTTAACAATGCAGATGCATATATAAATTAATGAACCCTCCAGATGTTTTTGATCAAAGTTTCTCATCTGAACTATGAAACAAAGAGGATGATTTGAGTGAAGGTTTTCTCAACTTCCCCAAAGGTAGTACGTTGCTAGTATCAATCCACATGTGCAGGAGAGGAGTTCATGCAGTACACACAATGGATATTCTATGGTCAAATTCTCTCTGGGGAACCCAGGTTATTTGAACTGTGTATGTAGCAAGTTCTTAAAAGTTTTTGTGTTGATTGGCTTGTGATAATTATACAGGTAACATTTATTCATTTATTTATTTTAGATTACAGGCCCACCAGGTTGTGGAAAAACTCAGTTTTGTATGATGATGAGCATTTTGGCTACTTTACCTACTGACATGGGAGGATTAGAAGGAGCAGTTGTCTACATTGACACAGAGTCAGCCTTTAGTGCTGAAAGGTAAGTTTTATCATTTTCCACTACAATCCTTCGCTTTTGTGACATATACAACATGGGATATTTACAAATAGGTTAACATTCTGGGTTAAAAGAATTATTTGATTTGAAAGGCAGAGAGACAGAGACAGAGACAGAAGGAGGTCTCCCATCAGTTGGTTCACTCCCCAAATGTCCACAGCAGTGGAGTTGGGCTGGGCAGAGCTGGGAGCCAGGAACTCCCTCGAGTCTCCCCTGTGGTGGCAGGGACCCAACTACCTGAGCTATCATTGCCTGCTGCCTCGTGCATTAGCAGGGAGCTGGAATTTAGAACAAAGCTGGACAGGTAAAGCCGCCACCTGCAGTGCCGGCATCCCATATGGGCACCGATTTGAGACCTGGCTGCTCCACATCCAATCCAGCTCTCTGCTATGGCCTGGGAAAGCAGTAGAAGATGGCCAAAGTCCTTGGACCCCTGCACGCACGTGGGAGACCCAGAAGAAACTCCTGCTTCCTGGCTTTGGATCAGTGCAACTCTGGCCTTTGCAGCCATTTGGAGAGTGAACCAGCGATGGAAGACTTCTCTGTCTCTGCCTTTGCCTCTCTGTAACTCTTTTAAATAAATAAATACATAAATACATCTTAAAAAAAAGAACAGAACAGAGCTGGAACTGTAACCTAGGCACTTTGATAGTGTCGCTCCCTTGCCCGCAAAGGAACGACACTGCTCCCAGCTGATCGGTCTTCAGTAGACTTTATTTTAACAGGATAGAAAGAGAAACCCTTGAGCAAGGGGAGCTCCGAAAGAAAGGGGAAGCTCCCGTTACTATTTCACAAACAGCTTATATAGTATAACATTGTTGAAGCAAGTAAGCAAGCTTAGTCCATGCTGCAGTCCATGCGGCGGTGCTCCAATCGGGTGCCTCATCACGCACAGTCCATGCACTCCTTGTCCAACCATAAAGGTGATCACGCGCCCTCATTCAATCAAGCTCCTGGTCATGTAGCAGGCGACTCAGGTGTTAACAACAAGCTTCCACCTGGTGTTTTCTCAACCTTGGTCAGTGGGAAAAGAAGTACGGGAAGCCGTTGTTTTGACTCTAGCCTGGGGTTATGAAACGGTCCCGATATCGCAGCTCAACAGAAACCATGAACATCCACACAGCAGTAACTAATGCCAATGGTCAGCAAGCCAAGCCTTAGCATGTGGGCCCATGGCCAGCCATGGGTCTCCACAGATAGGAGATGTGGGTGTCTTAAGTGCCAGCTAAACAATTGCATCAAGTGGTGGCTCCCATCATTACAATCTTGATGCGTTGCCTGGGCTTGGCTGATACTGCTGCCTGCACAAAACTGGGACTTCATAACAGCCTAATGGTTAAGTCGCTAAAGGTTTGGTTTCTGACTCCAGCTTCTCACTAGTGCAGACCCTGAGAGGCAGCAGTGGTGACTCAAGAATTGGGTTCCGGTTACTCACACGGGAGAGCTGGACTGAGTTCCTGGTTCTCAGTTTCCGCCTGGCCCAGTCCTGGCATTCATGGACATTAGCAGAGTGGGCTTGGAGATGGGAGCGTCTGTCTGTCACTGTCCCTCTTCCTCTCAGATTAAAAAAATTTTTTAAAAGAACTAAAAAAATAAAATTGGGAAGTCCCTTGGCAAGGAAGAAGTGGAAGTAGCTATTGGGTTGATAATTAACAGTGTCTGGCACAGCTGGAGTAGTCTCTGGCTTAGAGAAAGGTGGAAGGACAC